CAGAGCAGTGGGGCGTGGAGGCAATGATGCCAGGTTCGAGAGGAACAACAATTTTTCGTCATTTTGAGGAAGTTTGTAGTGGATAAGTTTAAGTCAATATTAACTGTTATTAAAAGTTTCTAAAAGTGCTTCATACGATACCAACTTTTGAGAGTAAGATATCTCAGAAAAGCAGATTGGCTAAAGAGAAGAAAATATTTTTTTGAATGAACGGGAACGTTTTTATTCTTACTTCAAATAGGTATTATATAACATAGGCTAAGTATCTCAAATTTGGCTTACCTGTGTCTCAAAATTAAAGTAAAAAGATTGTCACAGCTGAATGAAAGGGCAGGTAGAGACTGATAGGCTCCTTAAAAAAAGACAAACCGTCTTTTAAAAAGCAAATATTGTTTTAGAACTTGAGCAGCAGCGGTGCAAGTAAAATAAGGAGAAGATTACATAGTGCACTGAATTAATTCAGTGATACAGTGGGATTCTGAATATGCCGACACATTATTATCAGTGTCTATTTTTAGGCACAGATGGTTGTTACACTTTTATTGTCAACGAAGTAACGTTCTGGGTATCGGTGTGTGCGAAAATATATAATAATATTTCGTTAATAAAATATTGTGTGCACTTTCTTTCGGTGTATAATTAAATGGCAATTCTTAGTTAATTACGTTTGCTCGGCGTTCGTATTTCACGTCAGTCGGTAAATTTTCTGTAAGCTAAGTTATTACACCTAACAATTCATTAGTCGAAAGTAATTATGATGCGGTATTTATAAAAAACGGGTTAATGAATGGCAAGCAATCAGTAAATAACTTCTTAGTTTCAAGTGAAATGGAATTAATTTGTTCGTACCTATAGTATCTACCTATACACCTGTCCAAATAGACAAATTATAAATGTATTAGATAAGTGTCCATTCTTAAAGCGTATCCATTTGTATGTATCTAATATATTTCTTGTGCTTGATATTGTTTTTGTTATGATAAATTATTTATTTATTGTATATAACTTATATCTGTCATGACAATTTGATATACGTATAGTGTAAACTCTCTAAATGAAAATCTTTATTACGAGAACTGCCTATAATGTACACATTATACTTCGTTTAGTTCCTGTAGGGATGTGACCTTCAGTTTGACCGGCGCAAAGTAGAAAAGAACAGCACTAGGCCAGAAAAGAAAGGAGACAACTCTCGACCAAACTCTTAACCAGTGAGGAGCGTACAATCCGTAGAGTACTGCACGGTAAAATTGACCATTTTATCCACTACAATTGCCTTGCTCAAGCGTGCTGTTACTGGTAGATACCAATCACTACTGAAAATATCAACGAGATGTTTATTTATATTTGAAGACATATTAAGGGATTTAACGCTTGTTTTCGACTAGTACTACTGTTCATGATTGAACAAAATTTTTGGCAGGTACCGTATGAAAAATTATGTGTAATGAACAAGAGTCAAGAGTATAATGGACTTTTTCTCTCTACCTATGATTTTCCCAGCGCGCATCCAAGACATTGGAAGGGGAACATCGCTAGAGAAAGTAAATTAAGTATACTTAACTACATATTAGAGACGGAGTGATGTCGAAAAACGTTTTGGGCTGAATTCAATATTACCATCACAAAGTCGTCAATCCGCAGATTGGCTAGATTTGCACCTTCGCTTCTTCATATCCTAAGTCAAACTTCCCGATGACTAGAACATCTAACTACAATATTTATAATAGAAGTCTAATCGAGGTCTTCCTCCGCCTTTCGTTACTCCTGCTTTTGTTTTTAAAATGTCTCTAATGACTAGTCCTTCATGCCTCCGATCCTTAGAAGGTGTCCTACCATTCCATCTTTCCTTTTCGTAATTGCCCTACTAGAAATTGGAATTATCTTAATTTCTAACCACGGTATTTCCATCATGTTCGGTCTCTCGACCTTCGGTATAGAGAATTGGCTGAATGGAGAGCACTCACCTAATAGTCCAAACGACAGATGAAACTTGGTGGGAAGTCGTCATCGATCAACCTACTATCTATAATAGTTTTGATATGCGCACTGGGTTTGAAACCAAACTTAAAAGGGTGAAAAATTACACCACCCTTGTTCTGTTGGAACGTATCATTCAGTTTCAGATGAAGACATTTCAAAGTAGCTCTCAGGTCATTCAAATGTGATGACTCAGTTGCAAATTATTTGTGCTTTAAAATTTAAAACAGATCTATAGATGGCACGGTGGAGAAACAGTAACAATTTAGATAGGTAGTGGATGATACCATTACATTAGCACAACTTATACTTTCAATTCATTCACCAGGGTCTAAAAGAAAATTTAATTCAAACGTTTTTTTTTTTGAAATCGATAAATAGCATTCTTATGTTCAAAAATTTTGATCTGCAATGCATTTTGCTAAGAGTATCTAAATAAGCTTTAAAAAAATGTCACTTCGGTAGCAGTATCTACTGGATAATGCTTTATTTACTATTTATAACTAGCAGAAATCAATAAAAACAATAATGCATGTAATAACAGCGAATATGGAATGAAATGATTCCATTTTTTCTTAAGATAATAAGTAGGTATTTATTAACAAATACATTATTATCAAACGGTTAATTAATTGCAACCTTGTAAGGTTCATTGATTCTGAATTGAATAAAGAATAGCCACTTATAGAAAATTGCTCTTGAAAATAGCCAATTACTATTGTAATAATAACGTGGCCGAGTGAAAACAAGGACTAACAGACATAAAAATTGAAATAATTATTGAATATTTTATTTAATGCATGTAATAGTTACATTCACATTCAGGAAATTGTATCATTTTCTATTGTTTCTAACCGAGCCGTTCAAATACAAAAACAATTTATAAAACGATTACAAAATTGTAACATAATGTACTATAAATTGTAAAACAATGAGTTTAGAGTCGGCGAAACATATAATTGATAAGATTAGAAATTACTGAAGCAGATGTAAAAACAAAACGTAGACCTAATATCCTAAGCAGTAAGATATGTCAATAAAAGTGCTTCTTAATCTGGATTTGTTCAATATTTTCTTTAAGATACAGGACAATGATGACGATTGAAATGTAAGACGAAATAAAACCAGATTCTTGAAATTTACTTCCTGATAATGATAGCCTGAAATTGTCTTGACGTCATTAATCAAAATTTCTGTGTGCAGTAGTGAAGTAGTTCAAATAACCCGAAACATTTAAGGTTGTTTCGTCAATGTACTATGCTATCTATATATATATATATCCTTTTTATCGGCCTAATTTATTTTCTTAAAGTTAATCAGCATGAAATTCTTGTAGGTTATAATACATTGTAGTAGATGTAAAACAACCAGTTTGGTACGTCATTGCAGGAGTTGGCAGCCCTGGCAATAAAATGGCTGTCATTTAACATGTGCTTACTATTATGTACCGGATAATTTTATTTGAGCTTTTAGCTTTGAATTATATGAATAAATAACAATAGAAAATCATTTTTCTAGGCACTAACATAATGTGAATAATATAGATCATATTTATCAAAATGGCGAAGTGGTTAAATAACCATTAAATTAGCCTATCTTAACTGTTTTTTGTACAATCTGTCTATTCTAAAGAGAATTAATTTATCAACAGTAATGACTTTAGAGACGTAATACATCAGTTGCATCGGTTTTTGTTTATATTAACCGTATAATTCTGTAGTGCCGTAAAAATCGTAATGCGTTTCTGACGTCATTAAAACAGACGACCATCACATTTTGGCGGTAATTTAACAAGTTCAAACCTACAAATGCTTAGTTCCCTTAAAAGTGAATGCAATAAACCCAAAAATGTACCCACTACTTATTTCTACTATAAGTGCACAAACAAAAATTTATCCTAATGTGTTAGACGGATCTTAACTACACATTAGGTATGTAAAACCATGCACTCGGTTCGATGGTGGTTGTTCGGCTTATCTCGTCAAATTATCTTCAATATAAAGGCAGCAAATAATTTAGTTAATAGTGAGTCCGGAGTGCATACAAAAATAGGGCCGAAAAGGCAATCAATCAAAATTTTATCGACCAACATTCATCATTAATAAAAGCCGGAGTTGAGGAAACACAATCTAAATTAATATCTTTTTGCCCGACCCCATATTTATAACAGCATAAGAAGAATTAACCATGCAGATGCAAAATTACTTCAAATTACGTTTTGGTACGCCGCCGTTGAAGTAATTTGTGCCCATTGTGCAGAGAAATTTGTAAAGCTTCCAATTACCTCTTTGTATTATGTGAGTGGTGTACAATGTGATTTAAAATTATTTACAATAAAAAAAAAACACGGCATTAATTACTACATACGACAGGCGATGATGAAATAATCGCAAACAAATAAAAATAAAGCGACGATGCGAGCATTTTAATCAATAAATCATGAAAACTTATCCTAATAAAGCTGAAAGAACGTTAGGTACANTACCTCCTTCTCTATATCCATACAAAATATCTATCAAACAAATAAAATTAAAATTTTCTTTTGAAATATGAAACCATTCCATCAGTATTTTCTTATGACGTTGTCACGTTCAACTTTCGTCAGTAAACCGACTTTACAGACAACCGATTTTTTTGTCCACGGTATCCTCATCGTACGCCTGACACCTTTTCTTTTCCACCTCGCTCACTGTTCACACCCATACAGCGTCATGCTCCAGACATAAACCTTCTTCTAAATTAACCTATTGCGAGCTTATTTTCGGTGAAATTATTTTTGTCAAAAACTGTTGTACATCTATTGGAAAACCTTAACAGTTTTTAATTGAGTCATGCAGTATACATTTTGCTCGAGTTTGAGGGACTGTTGAGTGGAATGTTTGAGGTGAATTTCGCATCACAGCACAAAATCGTTTTGCTGACATGCTAATCAGTTTAAATCTTACTTAGTGAGAAAAAAAGAAGGTGAAAGAAGAAAAACGATAAAGTTATCGGTTATTTTAATAATAATTTCTACTCACGCTTTACCAAGGGAGACCGGCTTGAGTTGTTGTTTTTGAAAGATGATCTTTGTGTAATCACCATAATTACCACGACAATTTTAAAATATCAAATTGCACACGCACATGTCCACACACATGCAATTTACTCCTTACTCAATTATGAAAAAGAATGGAAAATAATAACGGACGTGTTTTGTTTATACTCGTTTCAGGTTTTATTTAGAAATTGTGACCATGAAAAATAGCACACAAACTGGTGAACCAAATGTACGATAAACAGATAAAACGAACGCGTGTATATTTCAAAAACACACATACACACTCATGCAAATCTATGTACAAATGTAAAGGTACCTGCATATCTATGTTATCAACTTTATTTCTTTGACGTAATCAGTTTATAAATTGTAGCATTCAGGCTTGGGTTTTATTAATTGAAATAATAAAATAAAATTGTCCTTGAAGGTGACTTACTTTTAAAGAAGCTTCTGGTAATTGCTGATTTAAGTATAAATTATTGAAGAGTTATCAAAACATAGTGACCCAGTTAAAAGATTATGAGAAATAAATTGATTGCTAGGGTTCCAAGATTCTACACATCGAAACGACTGAACGGAAACCTTTCCGGTATATACGTAGAATCATTTTGTTGTCAGTGTGTCGACTTACTGACCCATTACCAAAATCCCCCCCTTGACTTGGAACCTTAAAATTCAGTATGGAAGAAAGTCTTACCACTTAACGTAAGGGAAATTGTCCAAAAATTGATCGATTGAACCGATCTCATTTGGAAAACTTAACTTATTTAAATTTGATTTACAACATATACTGTCACCTTTGACTGACCGTTGGGTTAAAATAATAACACAAAATACAGATTATATTAAAATAAAAATAATACATACATAAACATCTCGAATAGTATGTCTCCACAATAAATCTACCTACATGCACTGCTTTTTAGGCTCGAAGCACGGAATTGGATCAAAAGAGGTGTCGAACAGGGGTAAAGTAGGCAAAAATTATTGCAAAAGATCATGAAGTACCCTGATTGGTTCTCATTATTTCGCAAAAAGTTTCAAACAAGACTTGTATGCTTTCAAAGGGGACTTTGACCATCGAGATCATTTCAAGGTCGAGTCAATTTTGGTTTTCTCTTCCTTCGTTAAAAACACTCATGGAGTTGTTTATTAGACGTTTTGCTTCCTTTGGGAACCCAACAGGAACGTAAAGTCCTTTGCTATGGTTGTACTGAAGCTTGACAGACTTCTGCTTATGGACTCCTTTTAGGAATCGTGGGAATAAGTGGATGGTACGATTGGGGTGTAAATTGATGACATAAGAGAAGTGAAAGATTATTGTTGGAATATTGTTAGTGCTCTAGCACGGGCTCAAGTGAATCAACAAAACCACCAAAAAATTTGGATTTGGGCAGACGGATGTGGGATCGAACCGAATTCGAATCCTTCTGATCTTCGATCGAATTCTTCTGAATTCTATGAACTATGAAGTGGTCTAAACCATTAGACCATGCTGCTTGATATGGGCATTTGACGTGGCGATACATTTGTGATAATTAAATGTTATTGTTGCAGAATAAAATATTAGCACCCCTTAGGTAATCGGAAGGTTATAAAATGGCTAAGAACTAAATAAATGTTACATTTTGTTATTGACATGTTCGCTTTAACCAGAAATAAGATAAAGTATTTCGTATAACAGTATTATCACTTATTCCGTGATAAAAATAATCCGTAGACCAACTAACAATAATTATCAGTATCATACCTTTTAAATTTTTATTCTTCAGCCAAGTTAGTGAGCCACAATATTCTTCGTTTTATTCCACAGTTTACTATGCACTAAATGATTGTTACGATGCAAAACAAACATTGACCATCAAGAATGTATATGCATACGACGACTGTAATGAAGATTATAATACTTCATGGTTTATTAAAATCGACGGTTGACCTTTGCCACAGTCTAACGACTAATAATTAACAGAAAAATGATATTAATGTCAATTCATTGGTATGTAGCGACATGTTGATCGTTAGCAACCACATTAGATGCAATTTTTTTCGTAACAACTACACAAAGTTAATTAAAAATCTGCCTTTAGGGCATCTATGTTAAAATATTTTAAGTAAAAAGTAAAAAGGTATATAAGGTAGTATTAAAAGGTCTGTATTACGAAACTTTTTATAGCAGATAACTGACTAAATTCCTGGACCTTAGTCTTGTATTCTCTCCTTTACAGTGACCGAAAGGTCCGTGAAATCAATTTAGCTTGTTTTTGTTTATAAATATCAAAATGCTTTAATGTCAATCCATCGCAAAATCTTTTTTTAAATGATTTGGAATTTAGATAATTTCCGTAGTTTTTCATTTAAATTTCATTTTTCAAATTCTTTCTGTGACCTGTGAAAACAATGCAGGTCAGTCGATTCACTGATGAAATGATTGATTTTTTATCATAAATATCTGCTACTCTATTGCGTACACCCACTCAACAGAAGCGTTTTACATTTTGCATAAATCTTTATTTGTTAAATAATTTCAAATAACAATTTACAACATCCTTCAGGATCTGATTAAACTGACGCTGTCTTGATTTAGTTTAAAGGCCGTAGGCGGTTGAAATTTCTTCCAACATCAATGCTGGATGTTGGCGTCCACATATATAGCATCGAAGATGGAAGAACTTCTGAAGAAATCTTGCACGCGAAACGTTAGGAAGGAACTCCAACCGACGAGGGCCTTTAGAGCTGAATCAAGACTGCATCAGCTCACCATCTGGCCACCATTACCAATTTGTCAGTTTCTAATTGTTAATTTTATCATCAAGCTATAATAACAATAATAAAAC